CTTCTGATCCCAAGAATTTGGGATAAAGGATTCCCAACCTGTACTAGTCAAAAATTAATAATCAACAATGCTTTGTCTCAGAAAATGGAATGCTTTAAGATCATTTTTCTTATTTTAAACAATTATAATCAAATATTACAAATAAAAAATCATTTTGAATTGATTTTAATTAAAACATTAAAAAAGTTAATATTTTACTAAACAGATTCTTATTACTTACTAAAAAAATTAAATATACCATCTTTCTTGAGAAACATAGACAATCATGACACATCACAGCTTCCTCTAATACAAATTGCCATAACTTCTTGACAAAGTTAGTAGAGTGCCTTCCTGTTGTCTTCTTCACAGTTTGGAATTCAGAGTTTTTAGACCAATGGACAGCCAAAGCTAAAGAATCCAGGATGGGTGGAAGCAAAGATGGATTCATGCCTTTCCCAAGGCCATTAGTACAAATAAACACCAGCCACTAGAACTCTGTTTACTAATTCCACTTTTCATGCTGATAACCATTACACTACCCTAAAATCCATTTTCCTTTGAAAAAAAAAAAAAAAAAAATTATTATCGTCTGTCTTTGTTGTATTGTGTTGTTTTACAACATGTGACCAGTAACCAACCTCTTTCGTCCTCTCCCCCCTTGAGGTTTTTGTCCTGTTCTTTTTAATGGAGATCTTGGTTTCATTTCATCTTGTTTCATGTCTTGAGTCATTACTGCTATCATCTATAGGCTTGTCATTATTCTGATCTGAAGAACTCATCTTTTTTTTCTGTCAAGGTCTTTTTCTCTCAGTACATCTTCCTTTTCAATCCTGGGTCTTAATTGGTCAGAATGGGCCATCAGGCCATGTTATGCTCACTTTGTATGATGAAATTAGCTCTTGCAGGAATTGCTACTTCGTCATTCTAATAAACCACAGTCTTCTTAATTCATGTTTTTTTTTATTGTTCTCTCTCCTTAATAATGTTTTTCTTTTGCTTTCACACTATATAACACCTCACATCTTAGTGGCTTTATTGCCTTGTTTAAAATAAAATGATAACAATAATGAAAGTAGCTCTTAAGATAAAAAAAAGCTTGAAGATGATCAATTATCCAATTAATGAGTGAGAAAGCCACAAGAAACAGTTGATATACAGTGAAATTAATAATCTTGCTATCCAACCCTAGCATAATGGCTTATATGTTTACATTAACATCACAAAAAAACTAAAAGAAAACAAAAAAACTCAGTTTCAATTATTCTATCTTTTATGCACATATAAACTTATTTTTGAGACATCTTTTTGGGAAGTAATAGTTAACAAGTAATTCTCATAGGCAGATAATTTACTGTTATAGTACATTCAATCCTCACTGGGTACTCCACACTTGTGTCCTTGTGTCATACTAATCTTAGTAAATATCTGTAAGCTATTTTCTGACTGAATAAAAATATGCTCATATGCCTGTACATTTAATATTGCAACAATGACATAAAAATATTTGTCTCATTAAAAGAAAGTACTTAAGTATCGCATTCATCTTTTATATACCTGTGATTAGACAAGAATCTGAATACCTTCGGTCCCATATTTGTGTTCAAGAGCTTGGCCTTTTATCTGCTTAATTACAACCACCTACCTAGCACTGATAGGTTACCCATTTAGTGTAAAGAACACCTGCAGTCCTAAAGTGAAAGTTGCCTAGTTCATATATCAATGCTGAAACATTTTAGGTACATGTTATTTTTTATGTTCACTGAAGCATTTAGTGTTTTGGATGATTTTCTTCCCTCCCCCTTTTTAATGGTGGTGTCCACTATACAAGACTCGAGAGCCATTGAGGTAGAGTGTTACAGAGTAAGAGACACAGTTTATGCAGATATGTGGGGAAGATAATTGTTAATCCTGACTTGAACAGATTAAGATTGTAGTGATCAGGAAAGCTTCATCAGCTCCACAAAACAGCAGTTTGTGGGAAATAAAATAAATCTACTGTTCATTCAGGCATTGAATATTGCTGCCATATTTGGTTTGGTGTTCCTGATATATATTTTGAGATTCTTGATAACATCTAAAATGGGTTTATAATGTAATCAATGGAATGCATGCCCATCAGTAAGAGGATGAGCCTGAAATGTGATTTGCAGGTAGGGAATACTAGAATCAAACATGAGACAGGAGACATTCTTTGGTAACAAAGAAAAGAATACTGAGCTGTTACGTGATATCTGTTCTTCTTTATGGCAGCGAATATTGGACAATTTCCTCAAAGATGGAGACTCGAGGTGACGGAGATGTGGTTCTACAGAAGGATGCTAAGGATATCCTGGACCAAGCATGTGAGTAACGATGAGATCTTAAAGAGGATGCAAACAAGGAGGAGGCTTATATTTAATATAAAGAAGAGGCAGCTGAAGTTCCTGGGACACATAATGAGGAAAGAGGGCCTGGAGAATCTGATACCCATGGGTCAAATAGAGGGAAAGAGAGACAAGGGAAAACAACACGTGACATACCTGGCAGGCTTAAGCAAGCGGATGACAGAACGTGGTCTGGGGGAGGAAGCAGAAGGAAGGAACTTATTGAGAACTGCAAGGGATAGAGGAAAAGGTGGAGAGCCATGATCGCCTACATCCTGAAAGGACATGGCACATAAAAAGAAAGAAAGAATGTAATCGATCCTGTCCTGGCTTCTCAACTTCAGTTACTTTCTCACCAACATGATGTGGCTTCCCTCTGTCTTTTCTCAAATATTTTCATGGCAATTGTTCTGATGAGCTTTCCTCCTTGATGCCTTAACTGCATGAATTTAAGCATGCTACTAGATTGGTAACTGGGTCTCACTGTTGAACTAGTTAGACACAACCATATGTTCTATTCTAATAGCTTCTTTTCTCACACATTTTGCCTGTGGAACTCCCATCTGATTTCCTACTTGCCTGTCACCTACAATCTTCAAAAATTTAAATGCAATGTCTTCTTGAATTCTGTTCTTTTATTGTTCTTTCCCTTTGCTAAAGTCTTCTCAGTAACCAGTTGGTGAGATGACTATTATAAAAAAAAAATTAAAAAAAACACTTATGATTTTTACCAACACTTGAGTTGATTAATATTTTCATCTTGGGTCTAATAAATAGAAAAGACAGATATTTCAGTTTAACTAAATTGGTAGAATTGTTGAATACAGTATAAAAGAACATTTAGTAACTTTTTGTTTTAGGACTAAACAGTTTAAACTTTACAAGCATAAATTCTATCCAATAGTAATATACAAATATTATATAAATTTTTAATATATATCTCAATGTTTATCTACGTGTTTGACCCTGAAAATTAAATTATATGTAAGTTAGTCATAATAGATAATCTAAGCTGAAATTCCCACATTATGTTTATCATATAGTAGTTTTCTAGGCATAGCTTATATGTGGCACAAGTCAAAAGTATGGGGGCACCCAGTGAGAATCAAATTCATTATTCACTTGCAATTGATCTAACAAGATAATCATGCTAACCATTACACCACATTGAAGTGCATCACACGGTATGTTTATCATATAAATATGGGCATGTGGTTGAGTGGTTAGAACATTTGCATTCTGACCATGAGACCTGGGTTCAAATCTCACCATAGTCAACTTATCAGCAAGGGGACTTCCAGATGTTATCAGACTGGAGAGGTCGATCACAGTGGGAAGCGCCTTTGGAAAGTGCCTGACCAAAGCTTTGTGAGTGAAATTGGGTAGATAGAACCCTTGGGGACCGTTGATAACTGTGCTAGCACAAAGTCACAAATCATCGTGGCTGAGGGTTTGAGTGTGCTAGCCTTGTTCAAATTATTGATCATGCTAGATAACATGCTCTTTCCCAGAAACTGTAACTAAGGTCTGATCAGTATAGTCGCAGTATAAACCACAGGTGGACTCTGTGGGTATTGAATAAACACAAATGCACCTGAGCAAGATTCACCCTTGTGTATATGGTGTGGTGAGTCCCATTTGTAATGGTCAGGAGTTGTGGGACTAAGGAACGTAGCTTGTCAGAATACATATTATGGAGTCAGTTATAGACAAATGGTTCAGGTGAATACAGAGTATAATGATTGTACTACACCACCCTACTTCTAATGGTGTGTTGCTCAAAATTTTCTTTGCAATATCTCGAGCCATGTCTCCTTGAATAAAATAAAAATTATCACCAAACAAACTAGGCCAAAAAAAAAAAAAAAAAAAATATCTTTTAATCGGTGAATTTGTCTATACAATCAAACAGTCAAATTTTCATTGTCTTTGAAGGATTGTACCTAATATGGTACCATTTAGCAAAAGAGTTAATTAAAAACGAAATAAAATGTGGAAAAACTGGACAAATCCACAATATTTGTATGAGGTTTCTGAGAAACATTCTTGCTATATTGAATAACTTTAAATTATTCTCTTTTCATTCATTTTGAAAAGGAAGGAACTTGCTTCAAGAAAAATGTCTACTTCTCTCAATGACTTCCTAACCATGAAAAAAATGAAAATAAAAATTAATTCTGCATTTCGATTCTCAATGAACTGAAAAGTTTTCTCCCATTCAAACACGTTCTGATTATATTAGGCCAATTCATTCAAGCAAAATACTACTCCCTTTTGGTAAAATTAAACAAAACCTAATTGAGACGGTAATTCATTTGAATCAGCCATTGTTTCAGCATTCTTTTGTGGGGAGTGGGAGTACTAATTAAAATTTCTCTACCTGTAACAGCAGGTGGAATTGTAATAACAAATACTGTAAAGTTTGCTAGATGATTTAAAAATAGACTGATAGCTTTGAATTTTGAGTCTAAATGGATATATTTATTTCAATTGTCCAATAAATGACAATTTTGCAGTATCTTGTAAAATCAGCTGACAAGCTTTTACTGAACATAAACAGAGTAAGATTATCTTACTTGAGAAGATCTTTAAAAAAAAAAAAAAATAAAAAAAAGGCGGGTGTGATCAATCCAAGATGAAAAGAACCAAACTCACAAAAAATAAGGAAGAAGGGTAATGGAGAAAGGAAAGAGAAATAGAAAGGCAATGAGGCAGATAGAAAAAATAGAAAGGTGGTGATGGCGGTGGAGAGAAAAATAATAGAAAGGCGAGGTGGGGGGGATGAAAACTAATAGGAAGGTATAAGAGCAGTCATAAAAAATAAAAAAGGTGAGGGGGTGAATTCAAAAAAAATAGAAAGGTGAGGGGGTGAACTCAAAAATAGAAAGGTGAAAAAATAGAAAGGTGAGGGGGGTGAACTTAAAAAATAGAAAGGTGGGGGGGGTGAACTTAAAAATAGAAAGGTGAGGGGGGGTGAACTTAAAAAATAGAAAGGTGAGGGGGGGTGAACTTAAAAAATAGAAAGGTGAGGGGGGTGAACTTAAAAAAAATAGAAAGGTGAGGGGGTGAACTTAAAAAATAGAAAGGTGAGGGGGGGTGAACTTAAAAAATAGAAAGGTGAGGGAGTGAACTCAAAAAATAGAAAGGTGAGGGGGGTGAACTCAAAATCTAGAAAGCTAAGTGTGTGGACAATGAAAAAAATCTAAGTGGTGGACAAAAAATGAAAATTGAGCAAAGGTTAAAAGAAAAAGTGTGTGTGAAGAGAAAAGTGCAAAGTTAAAAAGAAAAGGAGGGGAAAGAAGAGAAATGAGGTAAGAATTGTCATTTCTTGACAACAGACGGCAGACCAACAAAGTTATACAAAAAGACAGACCCAAAATAATGAGAAACATGATAGCAACTCTAGTATTGTTGTTTGAAGTGGATGGACTTGAAACATTAAAAAAAAAATGTTCAAAAGAAAGGTTTAATAGTTATGCACTAAAATCAAAGAAAACAAAAGGCAGTTTACTTGTTTTTTGGTTTGTTTGTTTTTGAGTTAAAAAAAAAAAAAAAAAAAAAGATTCGTTCTTTGGCTATTTAATTAAATTGTAAAAATTCTGAATGGAAAAGTAACATTGGACAAGACCCAAAATTATGTCATACCTCAAGAGCTTGTCTTTCATAGCTGACTTGTTTAAGGTATTACCTATCAAAATTATCTCCTTGAAAGTTAGTTTGAGTTCCTGCAGTCAAAACTAAGAGATATGCTGAAACCACTTCAAAAGAACAAAGGAAAAAAGAAATGCAAAAAAAGGAAGAAAGGAAAAAAGAAATGCAAAAAAAGGAAGAAAGGAAAAAGAAATGCAAAAAAAAGGAAGAAAGGAAAAAAAAAATGCAAAAAAAAGGAAGAAAGGAAAAAGAAATGCAAAAAAAGGAAGAAAGGAAAAAAGAAATGCAAAAAAAGGAAGAAAGGAAAAAAGAAATGCAAAAAAAGGAAGAAAGGAAAAAAGAAATGCAAAAAAAGGAAGAAAGGAAAAAAGAAATGCAAAAAAAGGAAGAAAGGAAAAAAGAAATGCAAAAAAAGGAAGAAAGGAAAAAAAAGAAAAAAAAAAGGAAGAAAAAAAAGAAGCAAAAAAAGGAAGAAAGGAAAAAAGAAATGCAAAAAAAAGGAAGAAAAGAAAAAGAAATGCAAAAAAAAAGGAAGAAAGGAAAAAGAAATGCAAAAAAAGGAAGAAGAAAGCAAAAAAAAAGAAATGGAAAAAAAAAAAAAAGGAAAAAGGAAAGAAATGCAAAAAAGGAAGAAAGGAAAAAAGAAATGCAAAAAAAAGGAAGAAAGGAAAAAGAAATGCAAAAAAAAGAAAGGAAAAAGAAAGGAAAAAGAAATGAAAAAAAAGGAAGAAAGGAAAAAGAAATGCAAAAAAGGAAGAAAGGAAAAAGCAAAAATGAAAAAAAAAAAAAAAGCAAAAAGAAAGAAAAGGAAAAAAAGAAAAAAAAAAAAAAGGAAGAAAGGAAAAAAGAAATGCAAAAAAGGAAGAAAGGAAAAAGAAATGCAAAAAAGGAAGAAAGGAAAAAAAGCAAAAAAAAAAAGGAAAAAGGGAAAGCAAAAAAGGAAGAAAGGAAAAAAGAAATGCAAAAAAAGGAAGAAAGGAAAAAAGAAATGCAAAAAAAGGAAGAAAGGAAAAAAGAAATGCAAAAAAAGGAAGAAAGGAAAAAAGAAATGCAAAAAAAGGAAGAAAGGAAAAAAGAAATGCAAAAAAAGGAAGAAAGGAAAAAGAAAAAAAAGGAAGAAAGGAAAAAGAAATGCAAAAAAGGAAGAAAGGAAAAAAAAAGCAAAAAAAAAGGAAGAAAAAAAAAAGAAAAAGGAAAAAAGGAAAAAAGAAAGCAAAAAAAAGAAAGAAAAAAAAGGGAAAAAAAGGAAGAAAGGAAAAAGAAAAGAAAAAAAGAAAGGAAAAAAGGAAAAAAGAAAAGGAAAAAAGGAAAAGAAAGAAAGGAAAAAAAGGAAAGAAAGGAAAAAGGAAAAGAAAAGGGAAAGGAAAAAGGAAAAGAAAGGAAAAAGGAAAAGAAAGGAAAAAAAAAGAAAAGAAAAAAAGAAAAAGAAAAAAAAAGGAAGAAAAAGAAAAAGGAAGAAAAGAAAAAGGAAAAAAAAAGAAAAAAGGAAGAAAAAAGAAAAAAGGAAGAAAAAAGAAAAAAGGAAGAAAAAAGAAAAAAGGAAGAAAAAAGAAAGAAAAAAGGAAAAAGAAAAATGGAAGAAAAAAGGAGGAAGAAAAAGGGAAAAAAGAAAAAAGGGAAAAAAAGGGCAAAAAAGAAGAAAAATGATAAAGGCAAAAAAGAAGAAAAATGATAAAGGCAAAAAAGAAGAAAAATGATAAAGGCAAAAAAGAAGAAAAATGATAAAGGCAAAAAAGAAGAAAAATGATAAAGGAAAAAAAAGAAAAAAATGATAAAGGAAAAAAGAAGAAAATGATAAAGGAAAAAAAGAAAAAAAAAAAGGAAAAAAAGAAAAAGGAAAAAAAAAAAAAAAAAAAAAAAAAAAAAAAAAAAAAAAAAAGGGAAAAAAAAAGAAAAAGGAAAAAAAAAAAAAAGAAAAAAAAAAAAAAAAAAAAAAGAAAAGAGAAAAAAAAAGGGAAAAAAAGAAAAAAAGGAAAAAAGGAAAAAAAAGGAAAAAAAAAAAAAAAAAGGGAAAAAAAAAAAAAAAAAATGAAAAATGAAAAAGGTAAAAAAAAGAAGAAAGACAAAAAAGAAAACAAAAAAGTAAAAAAAGAAGAAGAAGAAACAAGTAAAACGTGGCCATATATTTTCAAACTAAATCTGTTCCATACTTGAGTTAAGATTCTACCCTCAATCATGCAGGGAGTGAATTCCTAATGAACACAATGCCATAAGTATGTCTGACCCGTTGATGCATAACTCAGTATTAATGGTCAACCAAACAAGTGATATCAGTGCACTATATAGAAATCTTCAGTTAGTTTACTTGCAATTTGGATATTACAACTGACAAGGACTATTGTTTTATAATTCTGCTTGTCCTTTCCTTGGTTAGTTAGCATGACTGTTACACACACAGCCAATGTCTTATAAATAATGGACTATTCTTTTTTGATTGTGTGGAAAGACGAAAAAGACATATCAGAGATGCTGTTTGGTTTCAGTGAGAGAAGGAAAGAAAGAGAGAATAAGAGAACAAAAGGAGGAGAGGATGAAACAATCTGCCAATACCTCATAAATAATGAACTGTTCTGTTTTGATCATGAGGAAAAATGAAAAAGACATACCAGAGACACTGTTTGATTTCAGTGAGAAAAAGAAAGAATGATGATAAAATTCAAACAGGAAAGTTGTGAATGTAAGTACTACTAGCAGATATGATTGTTGATAATACAGATTCATTTATTCTGCTGTCAATTCTGGTAAAATGACAGAAGCACAAAGAAACTTCATTAAAAGCAAAAAGATTTAATTTGATTGTTATTATTCTGTCAAATGAAAACTTTCTGATAAAACTTTTTTTTTCTTAAGTAAATTGAGATACTTGTAATGTCTTCTATTTTTTTTAAATCATTTTAACCCCCAAGAAAGGTGATAAAGCTACTAAGACACTAGGGTGGGGGTAGTGAGAGAAAGAATCTGAGAAAAAAAAACATTAAAGAAAAAGAAAAATAAAAGAACAGGTTTCAAGAGACAAAAGATAACGATTGACATTACATTTCAATTTTTGAAGATCAAAGTAGACTGGAAAGTAGGACCTAGAAGAGAGTCATTCCACAAACAAGAAATGTGAAAGAAGAAATGGTTAGTATAGAATTTAGATACATCTAGCCATTTCAACAGTAAAAGGATGAGACCTAGCTGCCAATCTAGTACTGCACTTAAGTTCATAAAGTCTAGGTAGCAAGGAGGAAAGCACATCAGAACAATTACCATGAATATATTTATAGAAGAGGCAAAGGGAAGCTACGGGAAAGTGACTGAAGCTGAGATGCCAGACCATGACTGATAACATTGCAGACCTTTGGAATTTATCAAGAATCCCTAAATACATAACATGCATAAACATTACAATAAAAATAGTTATATGTCTATTACATCTATGCTCGGTTGTTAATACTTCTTAGGTGGTATTGTCCTTGAAGCCAGATCTTTTTCAAACTGGAAGGCACTTCCCATCTGTGGAACTCCCTTCTTCTTGCTTGCTTCCCTGATAACTATAATCATTAAATATTTAAGTGTAATGTCAGTTGACATCTTCTGATAACTTGATCTTGTTCCTCCATCCTTCTCTTTTCCTCAAAAACCCCTTGTGTGCTAGTGGCACTGCCACCTTGCTTGTTGTGAATTGCTTAAAAAAATATTTTGCACATTTTCAATACTAAAATTTGTTTTAGTCACTGTCAAGTTGAAGCGGAAAATTTTAAACACGAACTTACAGTCATTACTTGTATTGTTTTGCTATACACTGAATTGTTGAGTTCATCATTAATTCTTAGTATTGACTTAGTTACAATGTTACTATTGTTGTTGGCTCATCTTGGTTGTATTTGATTGGTACTTGTGTTTCATCTGTAGCCAATCATACTGATGAGTAGCCTTGGATTATACTTACAGGATCTTCTAGGCAATTTCATATCTTGGTACTCCAGTAATTCTATCATCTTATACATTTTGAGCTGTGTAGTAATGTGGTAGGAGTAGGATATCATTAGTGTCTGTTATTATCATAGAGTAGTAACCTTGCTATCCCAAAATAATTAAAAACAATGTTATATATTCAATTACTTAGAATAATCAAAAATTTGTTCAAAGTAAATGTTATTACATTTTGTAGTAATGTACAGCAAGAGTGTGTTACACCTAACTCTCCCAACAACTACGAGGTAATAGACAGAGAGAGAAAAAGAGACAAGAGGTAACAAAAATACCCACAGGAACAACTTCACAAGACACCATGTCTTGCTGACTGCTGGTTTTCCTGTTGTTTTTATTGGCATGAGGCATCTTGACCAGTTGCAGAGAGGCCTGTATCTAGACATGCCAAACTATCCCGCTGCTTACAGGAAAAACCCGGATGTAACTGGTGGTGGCAAACATGTCCACATGTGATCTGAAAACTCTTTTGCATCTGTACTGACATGCTTTTGCCACACATTTAAAATAGGGTTTTAATTTGAAGTCCTAAACAGCCTAGAATCTGACCGAATTCCAAGCTCTTTGATCTGTGGAGAGCAGGATGTACACAGGAGTTTATCAACAATAAAGGAAGGTGTCTGCTCATTAACTCATTGCTGGAATCATATACAAGCGGTATTTCTAAACAGAATGCCTACACAAAAATTTTTTTATTTTTATCAAATAACTACAAAGCCGCCATATTTGATGACCACTCAGTAAAATATACTTCTCTTTACTCTATAATATGCCACTAATAATCTCTTCTCATTTGCATAGCCCTTCCATTAATTGGGCATTACCCTTGTGGCCTTGTTCACTTCTGAAGGAGAGATAAAAACTCAAAGTATACTATTTTTTTTTTTTTTTATATTTTTGCTAGTTTATTTTGAAAGTAAATATTACAGAAGTCAGTATTTTTTTCCCAAAAAATGTTTAGCACTGGCACAGTTGAATGTTGTATTTTTGATGCCATGGATTTTTGGGGAAAGTTCCAAAATCGCCAAAATGCACCTATTGCTCATTCCAGTATATTTGCACTCAGTGAAATTTCACTGCAATTACACTATCAGAAAATAATTGCTTCATACCAGCTGAACAAGTATAATAAAAAAAAAATATATATATAGTTGCCTTTTCAAGGCTTGCTAAAAATTTTTTGGCCTATTCAAGAAGAGATTCCCCCAGAAAATATATGGTCAGATTTTTGGAAGTTGAGACAAGTACAATAAAAAAAAAATATAGCTGCCTTTTAAGGGCTTGCTAAAAATGCCTTGGCCTATTCAAGAAGAAATTCCCCCCCAAAAATACATGGTCAGATTTTGGGAACTTGAGACAAGTACAATAATAAAAAAAATACAGCTGCCTTTTAAGGGCTTGCTAAAAATTCCTTAGCCTATTCAAGAAGAGATTCCCCCCAAAAATATATGGTCAGATTTTTGGAAGGGTTTAAAGACCAATGAAAGCGTTAATAGTATCTATTTTTATGAATATTTTTATTCTTACAAGTGGATGTCGTTTAACTGGGTATTTATATTCATTGGTGCCAAAATGTCAGTGAGTTGGCCGGTAAAGTCAGTTGTTGCAGAAATCTGTTTCAGAGCACTTTGTTTACTGCCATCCACTGACCCAACATGTAATTTATATCTCAAAAACCCAGCAACTACCGACTGAAGATATTTTGAGGTATTTCTAACTTCTTGCCAGTAACCCATTATATTATTTCCTTCTTTGCCACTAACATTATAATAAAACCTTTTCCTTGTATATTATAAAATTTAGTTGATCTTCTATCATTCCTTTTACTTCTCTATTTTTTTTGTTGTATATGTGGCAAAATCTTTTGTTATTTTTTTCTTTCTTTAGTTCAGGATGTTTTCTGGTTTCCAGGGAAAATTGATAATTTGTTACTCTCAGAATTCAAGACATTTCAATCACAAAAATATTAGCAAAGCATATTTTTTTTTTTTTTTAAGCATTACGCCCCAAGCAAGGCGTGAAGCCACTAGGATACAGGGGCTTGTGGAAGATTTGGAGCGAGAGCAGATAAGAGTGATAGAAGAAAGGATGAGGAGAGGGATAGTGGATAGATCAAGGTAACTGGAGATGTCGATTGACATTACATTTGAATAGTTGGAGATTATAGATCTCAGGGAAACAGTTTTTGGCACCAAGTTTTCATTAAGACATGACTTATTAAATAATTTAGACAGGTTTTGTCGAGTTATTCTTAATAGGATCCTTATTAAAAGAAGAAAGAAAATTAGCATGTTGATGTATATTCATTTTATTCTAAAGTACTTTCGACATTTGCACAATGACAAAATACACCTATACTTTTTATGAAAATAATAAAAATAGACTAAAAATATTTAAATCTATATTAAAAAAAACTGAAACCAACCATTAATGAAATTAATGATGAATGTTACAAAAATGTTTTTTAATGTTTACACTAGATAGTTTAATATATATAGGTTATAACTGATAGCTTTAAATAGTTTTTTTAAAAAAAAATAGTTAGGGATTTCAATAACTTAGTTACCTCCCTTGACATTAATGCATGTGTATGTTTGCATCATAAAATTTGAAAAAAATTGTATTATACATAAGTTTATTGTTTTTCAATTCACAAGTAAAAAATTTGATTTTCAGATGAACACAGTAATGTTATTTTAGCAAAAACAAAACCCTAAAGATGACATTGTGTTAATGTCAAAAGTACTTGTGAATAAAATGGATATACATGAACAATAATTTTCTTTCTTCCTTTAATACTAAGAAAATTGTCTGTAACTATGAGAGTATCCTATTAAGAATAAGTAGACAAATCTTCTGAAAAATTTATTTAATATGACATAATATATATATATATATATATATATATATATATATATATATATATATATATATATATATATATATATTGTCACCATAGACAGACTATTTCACAGCTAATCAGTGTGACTAGATATCTGATTGCTTCAAGCCGGGATCAAAACCTGACTGATTTGGCAACCATTGGAGATTTTCCCCCTAACCTATCGGTGCACGGTAGGAAAAAAGGCAATTTTTTACGTACTCAGTGAATAAACACGCCAATGACTGACAGTGCTCAATTTAGAG